CCCTGAGCAACCCAAGCCCGATATCCAATCCCTCTTCAGCTCAACAGCTTTTGCAACGCAGCCTGCTCTTGCTTGGCACTGACACTTCCCCTCCTCGGCATGATCTCCTGCAGTTTGACGGGCTGGGCTCAGGGGGTTCAGGTGTTCAGGGGCGGCGTCGTGCACTCCGTTGCAAGTACAAGGTGAAGGTCTATATCAGACTCGTCTCCTTGCCTTTTGCTTTGTTTTGAAACGGGGTCGGGGTGGGGCCGGGAGGGGGGGAGCTTCAGCCAATGAGGCATCACGACAAGGTCCGGAAGTAAACGAAGCAAACAAACATCAACTTCCACTCAGCCCGAACCCAATGCCGTAATTAATGGACGGTGAACTCCAAACAAACAAGCTAACGACAGAACAGCTATGCCTAAACTTGCTCATGGAACCCCCGCAGCAACCTTTAAAGCTCCGAAAAACTAAATCACACAACAACAATCCTGCACTTGGCATAGAACCCCGAAAGGAGCCCGTAAGGCACAATGATGCCAGAACGGTGCATCAGATCAGCCTGCCAAGTATGAGCTCTCAAGATTAGGGTTCAGTATGAGCCCTCAAGATCAGGGTTTAGGGTTTAGGGTCCAAAGCATGAGCCCTAGCCCTCAAGACTAAGGTTTAGGGTTCAGGGCCAGCATGATGCTTTATACAAGGTCTGAGGCTCCGGTTGAGGGGTTCTCTAGACGAACAGACTTAAAGCCGCAGACCCGAAAACCCGATCCCTGCCAGGCCCTGAAATTTAGCTCATCCCCCGCACGCTCTTAAGTCAGGTTTTGGGGTCTATAGGGCTACATATTGAAACGTATACGCCCTATACCCTACGCCCTGTCGAGCCTAGCCATTTCTCCCAGTTCTGTCCTTGAGGAACGTGATCTTCCGCATGCAGCTCCTGATATTGCCGGTTTTCGTGTACTTGCGCAAGTGAAACCCATGATACCGGATAGTCCGAACAGGGCTTTGGGGGGTGAACAACCGTATGACTATCGTGAGGAATCCCGAGGAAAACTCCGGCAGCTGCTGTTTATGGGGATCCCATTCCAAGAATGCCGTGCTGATTTGAAGATCTGAAGAGGGACTCGAGTTTGGAGAACGACCGACACGGTTTTGGATCTCAAGCGGGCTCTACAAGGTTCATAAGGTTGTGGACGGTTCCTAATGGGGCTTTACGGGGTCCGAATGCCTCCCGTCGGTCTGCAACGCAGTGCCCAACTTGACTTAAAGGCTGCACTGCACTAGTAAATCTACATACATTACATTACATTGCATTG